AGGTTCTGCCTCATACCTTGTTTTCAGTGGCATGTTTTTCCTTCTCCACCTTGGCCAGTGTTAGCTCAAGGTCATCAATATCTTTCTTCAGCTCTGAACATTCATCCTCCAGTTTCCTYTTCTTGGCTGTCAGTTCAGCATTAATTTCCTCTTCATCYTCAGCCCTTTCTGTCACCTCCTTAATTTTGGCTTCCAGCTGGATTTTGGTTTTGATGAGCTGGTCACACCTTTCCTCAGCATCAGCCAAGGCATCTGCTTCCTGTTAGAGAAACATAGTTTTGTTTGCTAATCACAACTGTTCGTAAAAGCTCAATAGAGAAATTATATTTGCAGCTGAGGAAAATGAACATGGAATTACTCTGTATTGTTTTCTTTCTGSAAGTGATTTTTTGCACTGCCTCTTTTAAACCAGAGAAGGTTATTGCTCTAATTACTCTTTTTACTCTCGTCAATTATTCCCTCTTTTTGTTCTTATAGTTAAGGTCATAATATGCAGTAATACTTTAATTCTCAAGAGTTTTGATTACTTTCTCTGAAAGCTAAGAACTGACTATAATTGTGTAGAGATTTTTTATCTTTTTCTTTGTATAGGCTTTTCTTGGCAAGACTGACTTTGACTTAATTTTCTTTTGGGCCAGATAAATTGATATRTATAGTCTTGGTGCAATTAGTCAATTCAATTTGAACCTTACTTTCTCTTGAATCTGTGAGGCAGATATCTAAAGATGCAAGGCAATGTTTAAATGCTGACCAATCTTTTGATCTTCCAATGGGCTTTGGGGGCACACATAGGGCTGTGACAGAATGCAGATGGTTTTTCTGTCTTCCTGGAATAGTGGTTGTAGAAAAACAGATGACATAATGTGTCATATGAAATGGCATAAATCTCTTTCATTTGGACAACTGATTGAAACCSGAGTAATTTGTCAGATGTATTGTTTTACAGACTCCCTTAACTGTATGCACTTAATTTACCGTGACTACATTGGACCTTATATTGTGAGCATGGAGAAACAGATCTATGGGAATACATGCTTCAAAAGCAATTCCAAAGCGGGAAYCTCATATTACGATGCTGACACTATTTGATCTGAACTTTACCTTTCATTATTCATATTAAAATATTTTCTCAAACAATTTATTGTATAGCAYGAAAGTTACATGTTGTGAGAATACCTMGAAGAAATACATTAACTATACTTACAGATTGCACTTGGAGCTGCAGGTCATTTTTTTCCTGCATTAGAGATGCCATTTTCTCCTCCAGTTCCTTCCGCTTTGCTTCAGACTTCGCAAGCTCTTCCTTGGTTTTCTCAAACTCCCCCTTCATGTTGGCCATCTCCTTCTCAGACTCTGCACTCTTCAGCAAGGGCTTGATCTTGAAGAACAGCTTCATCCATGGCCAGTGTTTGACATTCATGAATGAGCGMACATTGTACTGGATGCAGAAGATGGATTCTCTGAAGCATAATTAAAACATGTAATGAATATTTTCAGTCTGGCAAATCATCAACGGTTTCCTCCAAGCAGAGTGACGTTAACTGAAGAAGAGGAATGTGTACCTCCGCTCCACCATTCTCTGGTACTCCACTCTCATCAG